GCACTTTCTCTTTGGTAGGAGTACGCAGGCTGGGAGGGTTCCGCCGTGTCCTTGCCTGGTGAGGGGACCGCGTGAGGTACCCCGGTAGCCGCAGCAGGAAGGGTCACGGTGCTCGCTTGAGGCTTTGGGAACTGCGAGGAGAAATCTTGTGCCGATTAGCAAAAACTAAATTAATAACCCTGCCTGATGTGAGCCCTGCTGGAACGGCCAGTGAAGTTGCAGAGGAGCTTGGATAGGAAAAAACAAACCCCAGAGCAGCACGGCAAGTGGGAAGTTCCTTCCTGATGTGCATTGTTCTTCCAGCTACAGACAGGAAGCACTCGAGTGTATTTTCAGGCACAGAACATTGGACACAAAGAAGGCTCTGACAAAGCACAAACTCTCGGTCTGTGCAGCAAAACGCCTGATCCAAAACAATCTGATTTAGCAAGCATTATTCTTATTATTGGATCATTTTGCCTATTCTCTCCCTGCCTTTAGGTACCGTGATAAATTCAATCTGTTTTCCCCATCCTTGAATTCAAAAACACACTGGCAACTAATCAAAGATAACACATCTTATACTTACTTGGCAGGGGAAATACCACAGTTAAAAAATAATACATCTTAGGAAATCCCAGCACATTTTTAATGGCTGATTTATGTGTCCTTGAGTGAACACTCTGGTTAGTATTCTAATTGCTGGGCTTTGCTTAGGTTAAATTCCACATCTCTGGTAAAGATGAGCACCCTAAAAATAATTCAGCATAGAGAAGGCCTGGACTAGACATGAGGAAGGAGGAGATCTGGCATTTGGAGCACACACCGGGGCTGTTGGGGACAATGGCGATTTTCTGCAGTTAAGATAGCGACAGCGCAGGCCAGCAGCTTTGTGTGAGGACAGCACCTCAGTTTATGTGTTATATTCCTCACGATTCGTCAGTGAAAAGTAGTCTTTCCCAACTACAGGTCATTTTTAATTTCAGTGAACCTTAAAAGCTAATGAAGAGGACACACTGGATCCTTCCCCAAAATTATATTGACCTAACGTGGAGTTCACACAAAGGCAAAAAACATAGAGTGAATTTACTTTTAAGCAGTGTGCTAGCATTTTAAGATGTTGAATGTATTTTTCATTCTTTAAATCAAAGACCAGTCAGTTTGGAAAAAGAGTAATAAATATACTACCTTCCCCTTGTATTTTGGGTACTGTGTGGTATGTCATGGTGCTTTCGTAGAGACCTGCACCTGTTAAGTTAGAGGTTTCTCTGACCATATTGACATGCTGTTTGAAAATGTGGATTCAGTACTAAATTTAAAAACGTTGAACTGTATTTGCATGTACCTTAACAAGTAGTTTAAGGGCAAAAGGCTATCACAAAATACAGTGAGTTCTTTCCCTGCTAATACAAAGGTTTAACTATTCTGGCATTTGCTCACACCCATGTTTATAAATATGTGTGAAGTACTGTCCTTCGAGTCGTCAGAATCATTTGTTATTTGTTGACTTACCATGGTAGATGAGCGTTTAGGATTGTTGTGTAACCTTTCTCTCTCCTTCTGCTCCACCAGCCTTCTAGTACGGTTAACGTTATACTTTGGGATTATATGACCATTAGATATTATTGGGTCTAATAAATTTGCAGCTGAGTGTAGTAGTGTACCGTGACTGCCTTAAGAGCTTTTTGTTTTCCCCAGAGTTACTGCTTTGTTTTTATATTTGCTTCATTTATCTTTGTAGCTGATACAGCACTGTGCTCATAAATTCATAGTTCCTTAATACCTAGCCTTCTAGAATTTAAAAGCTCCGCGATTTAAATTTGCATTATTTTGGTGGTGCTGAAGGTCACACCCAAGGCTTCACGCACGCCAGGCGAGTGCTCTCCCGCTGAGCTGTAACCCGGAGCCCTTGGGTTTGAGTTTTCATTTCGAGCCACCAGTGTGAGGTTACTGCACAAGGTGCCGGGAGGAGGCGCGCACAGCGGGTCCCCTTCAGCGGGCTCTAGCGCACCGCCGAGCTGTTGCCCGCTGTCACATGCCTGTTGAGTCCACAGTACGATTGTAATACAGGTTTTTCTCTGATCATTACTTTCTAAAAGAACATTTGTGACATGCTTCCCGATTCTCAGGTTGATTCTTTTCTTTTGAACTGTGACAATGTGAATAAGTCTTGGGACTTTTTTCTGAATATTCATAGAAGGGAGAGATTGTCAGAGTTGAAGTGTATCGTGTCAAGGGTACAGGAGCCTGTGCAGAGTTTTGGCTCCTGGCTAGAGAAGGTACAGGAAAAGTGAAACAATACAGGGCTGGTGTTTTGCTGGTGAGAGGAGAGGGAGGG